TCCGCGCTCGGCCACTGCCACGCTGCACGTGCTCCTGGTGGACGGCTTCTCCCAGCCCTACCTGCCGCTCCCGGAGGCGGCCCCGGCCCAGGCCCAGGCCGACTCGCTCACCATCTACCTGGTCGTGGCGTTGGCCTCGGTGTCGTCGCTCTTCCTCTTGTCGGTGCTCCTGTTCGTGGCGGTGCGGCTGTGCAGGAGGAGCAGGGCGGCCTCGGTGGGTCGCTGCTCGGTGCCCAAGGGCCCCTTTCCAGGGCATCTGGTGGACGTGAGCGGCACCGGGACCTTATCCCAGAGTTACCAGTATGAGGTGTGTCTGGCAGGAGGCTCAGGGACAAATGAGTTCAAGTTCCTGAAGCCTATTATCCCCGACTTCCCTCCCCAGTGCCCTGGGAAAGAAATACAGGGAAATGCTACCTTCTCCAATGACTTTGGGTTCCATATTCAGTGACCATAGTCGACTTTTATATTCCGTAGGTATTTTACTTTATGGCATTTCTATGCCAATGTTTATTTCCCCCAATTTGTGTGTATTTAAAACTGTACTGATTTACTCTTGATTTTTCTCATGTTCTTTCTCCCTTTGCTATTAAGTGAACATTCACTTTTATTCCCGGTTCTTAAAAGATGGCAATTCATTCTTTAACCTAGATGGTCTTAAATTGTAATTAATTTGCCTCCCTAAAGAGCAATACCAAACCACATTTTTTTTCATGCCCCTATCTTTAGTTGAACTTCACCCACTGTTATGCTTATGGTAAAATTAAATAGAGCAATTTGGAAGGGATTCACATTTTCCAGCATTTCTTCATTTCTCTTTTTTTCAGCCTTAAAATAATGATTGGTATTCAGATATATAATTTTTCTTTGTTTTAAATCCAGTGCATTTTTAGTTAACCTTTAACTATGCTTTTTGCTTTCAAAAATAAACCAGGAAACCTATATTCTATGATACAACTGTAAGTGTTATCACTTGATTCAAAAGGGTCAGAAGACCAGTTTCTCAGTATCCTTTCCTCATTCATCCTGGAGAGGATTGTGCAGGCACGTTAATATTGTGGCCACTCACAGAATCTGGGAATATGAAGTTATAATTTTTAAATTAATGTACCAAAGCTTTAATGCAATCTAGTCAAATGCAGATGCATGTGTCCAAATAATAATTCGTATAGCATAAATTGGAGTTGTGTGCTAATGTGTAAATTTTTTTGCCTGTAATATCATAGAATTTAATGTATATACACCAGAAACTACTTTTCAGACCCTTTTCTACTGCAACCAATAGTTAAGATTATATTTTACATATTTTGAAACACACAAAATGGAAAGAAATGCTTGTGAACAATGCTTAGTCTTTTTATGATATAATTTGAAATTACCTATATATTTCATTCTATTCAATTTTTAGATGTGGTCATGATCCACTAAGTTTATTTAATGGTATACTAATGGGTAGTAACCCAAAGTTTGAAAACCACTTTTCTCAGACATATAGAAGTATACCAGATGTTGAACATTGATAGTATCAAAAGAGTCCTTTAGGGTTCTAATTTAAAAAAAAAAAAATTCAAACCATTGTAGAGGAGTAGTGTTGTCTCATGTTAAACCACTCTACCCTTTAAGGATCTGACACACTGTGCAAGAAAAAGACTTCAAGGTTGGAGGAGGAGATTTTCCATGACTTTTATCAACAAATCTAAAGTCTATGTTGTAGGAGAAAAATGTAGGATAACAAAATGAGTAAAAGTATAGAGGCAAAAAAAGTGTGTGTATGAAAGAGACAGAGCAAGCATGGGAAAAGGAAATTCATGGGGATGAGTAAAATGACTACTTTCAGTGCCACAGACTAGACTCAATTGCTTCTCTTATTTTATTTTTTGAGACAGGGTCCTGTTCTGTCACGCACACTGGAGTGCAGCGGTGCGATCTCCACTCACTACAACCTCCACCTCCCGGGCTCAAGCAATCCTCCCACCTCAGCCTCCCTAGTACCCAGGACTATAGGCGCAGGCCACCACACCCACTAATTTTTGCATTTTTAGTGGAGACAAGGTTTCATCATATTGCCCAGACTGGTCTCCAACTCCTAAGCTCAAGCAATCTGCCTGCCTCAGCCTCCCAAAGTGCTGTGATTGCAGGTGTGAGCACCTGGCCTCAACTGCTTCTTGAAAATATTTTAAAATTTTATCTTAACATTGTAGAGGGACTGGATATTAGTCAGTTGATAATGCCAAGGAGAGTAATCTCTTTTTATGGCATATCTAAGACAACCTAGTGTTTATACTTCTTGCTAAGATTTCACTACCAGTTCTGTTGAACTGTGTCGACTGAGTAATTATTCTTTTCTTTTTTTCTGTTTTCTTTCTTTGTTTATTTTTTAGAGACAGGGTCTCAGTCACCTAGGCTGGAGTGCAGGGGTACAATCATGGCTCACTGAATCCTTGAGCTCCTGGGCTCAAGCAATCCTCCTGCTGCAGCCTCCCAAGTAGCTGGGACCACAGGCACATGCCACCACCCCCAGACTTTTTAAAAGATTTTTGTAGAGATGGATTCTCATTATGTTGCCCAGGCTGGTCTTGAACTCCTGGCCTCCAAAGGTGGGATTTATTCTAGCAGTTTCCCTGTGATCTTCTCACATCTTCTGGTGGAGGGGGAAAGAATAGTTCGAACAGCTCAGACAGAAAATCTAGCAGGTGCAACAGTGGAGAAAAGGGCCAAGTACTTGTCCTATTACTTCCATTTTTTCTAGATAGATGAGCAGCAGGACTCCTCTCTTTATAAAAAGAACTATGAGTCTCCTGGCTCTAATGAAGAGTGACCAGGCATTCAGGAACTTAAATGCCAAGATACATATAACCAACGAATTCTCCTAGAATGTATTGCTAAAAATGAATTTTGCTCTTATAGTTCAAAGACCTCATTTATAGTTATACTTAAAACAGTGCATAGGAATCAAGCTGTATCAGCCAATTTTATATGAAAGAACTATAGGTTGTAAGTAACTTAGAACATAATTTTATACCTAGAGGGGGTTAAAGGACACAGAAAATAGAGACACAAGAGATGGTCCAGCCTTACAGAATGGAGTCTCTTGAAAACACTTACACACACACACACACACAAAACAAATAACAGGGTTTTTTTTTGTTTTTTTGTTTTTTTTGTTTTTTTTTTGTTTGTTTGTTTTTTGTTTTTTTTTGGAAATAGGCAAAAGTATGGGAGAAAAGGGCCATAGGACATTTTATCTTACAAACACATTGTTCTCTTTATCTTTCTATTTCAAGTTCTGCCAACACTCCTGGGCCCACTGATTAATCTAACAACTTGACCTCTCAGTCCCTAAGTCTTTACCTCTACTCCTGTTATTCAGTCATTAACGCCTTGGCTACATATTGTACTTTTCCCCCACCAAGAAACTGTCATATGATATAATAATTTCAGCTATCTCCCTGTGAGAGCACAATTGTCTATGCCTATAACCTTCTCATTCTGCTGTTCCTATCATGTCTTGTCTTTAACCTTATCAGGAGCTCCATTCCATGATGCTGATACTACCTATCAAATGCTCCTGTTTTAATTTCCTTCCTAACCAGTCGATTTCCCGACTTACCGTTCACAGTTACTCTCATGCCCATATTCTCAATTCCCTTGTTCAATTTTCCTTCACTCAAACCACCTGATGAAACTCCAGCCCAGATGAATATAGTCCTCCTCCTCTCTTACACATGGGGTGCTGCACTCTATAAGACCAAACTTACAAAATTAGCAATACCGCTGCCACTATAAATGTATAGTATTCAAACCTAATTGGGCTTCTGAGACCAAAAGCTCCTTTTATAATTTTTCTAACGAGCTTTATTTTCTATTCTCCACAACAACTATTTTAAACCTACTTATCTTACTTTAAACTTCTTACCCTACCACTTGCATACCCTGTTTTATCAGATGAACTTGCCTAATACCTTACTGAGAAAATAGAATCCATCAGCTAGAAATTCATTTTCCTGTCCCCTACTCCACAGCTTTAACAGCATCTGTACCTATATTTTTCACCTGCTGAGTTCCCTCCCACTGGTCTAAATCCAATCCCTTCACACATTGCCTGGATCCCATCTTTAACAACTTTTCTAGGGGACCTGCATTATCCCTTCTGTATCTTAATTTTCTCCTTCCCTACTGAACATTACACATTGGCATTTTAAATATATTCAAGTTTCTCTAGTCTTTAAAATATCCTCTGAGTGAATTCTTCTCCAGATACCAATGTATTTCTTATTCCTTTTACAACCTTTTCATTCTTTACAAATTTCTTGAGAGCCTGGCTGCAGTGAGCCAGTGAGCCTGGGTGACAGATAGAGACCCTGTCTCAAAAAAAATTGTCGAAAGAGTGGTCTACTTCATTTTTGCTTCCTCATCCCTCTCACTTTGCACCAAAGTACAATCTAATTTTCATCACAACCATTCTACTGAAACTGCTGTTGCAAAGGTTATCAAAGATTTCCATATAAGTTAAGTAAGATTATACTGTGGAACCAACGTGATGCAATGAAACAGTGGCTTGTAAACATGTCACTCTTTTTCACATGACGGTACCAATTTAAAAATTATTAGGTAGGTAAGGCAGCTTTGATCCTCACAGTCCTTGCAAAATGAAATTTTCTTTCAAGTAATTTCTTCAACATTCCCTATGGCAATACAATCTGCATGGGTGTAGCTGGGTCACTGCCACATCTGGGTCACTGCTACATCTGGGTTCTTGCTCGCTTGGAAGAAAGAGGCATATTCAGATGACTTTTGTTCTATAACTGGAAGAGGCAGACAGAAATTCTGCTCACAATCCATCTGTGAGAACTTAATTCACTTGGCCACACTCAAATACAGGGGAGGCTGGGATGCACAATCTACCTTCGTGGCCACATACCTGGGTACAGTTCTATTACTATAGAAGCAAGGGAAAACAGATTTTGTCAGACATCTATCAGAATCCTCCACAATGACCATCTTTTTAAGTCCAATGGATAATTGTCGTGCTTATTTTTCTTGACTTTTCTGAAGCATTTGCAGCTTTCAATCTTCCTCGTCTCCTTAAAATGCTATTTGCTTTTGATTTCATGATTTTGAACTCTGAGCCTTCTTTATCTTTTCAGATATGCTTCTTGCCCTGTCTCCTCTAAATGAAGATGTTTTTTAGACTTCTGTGCCAAGCCTCTTCTATACTTATTTAACACACTTCTGCTTGGTTATCCTAGAGCATTCATGGTTTCAATCACCATATATATATATACACATATATACTGATGAATCCCAAAGTTCATATCGTCAGCCCAGGTTTATTTCCTATGCTTTGGTTATAGGCAAACACACACACACACACACACACACACACACACACACCACAAACACACAAACACACATCCTACAGGCGCTTACCTCAATATCAGCATGTTCAAAACTGACACTTCATCTTTTTGCACCCCAATCATGTTTTTTTAGCATTCCCTGTCCTAGCAAATGACACCACTAGTCATCGAGTTTCCCAGTCCGGAGGTGTGATATCATCTCTGAGTCTTTCCCCTTTTTCTCCCCATGCAACCTATCAACCAACAGTTGAAAATATTTCATCTCCTCATACCTTTCTACTCATCCCTCTTCTCTCTATCCGCACTGGCATTATCCTCTTCCAGACTATCATCATCTCTTATCTGATCTCCTTGATTCTCCAGTCATTCCCCCTGAAATTAATTCTCCATACTTCAGCCAAACTGATTTTTTAAATGCACATGTGATCATGTTAATCAGACATTTGAAACCCGTCTTTGTACTTGAATTACATTTAGGATAAATGCAAGAACGCATGATATGACCTGTATAATGATTCACATTCTCACCCTGCTTTCAACCCTAATTTCATTATTAGACCCTCCCTTTCCACAGTTTTTAAAGTCTAAGGCATACTTCACTTCTCTGTGTTCCTCAAAATGCCCATCTGAAATATTCCTCCTTCTCCTGGCTAGTTCCTTCAGATCACAATGTATTATTCATTACGTCAGGAAAGCTTTCACTGATGTCCCAAGTCCTATTTAGATCTTAATTATTTTATTTTTGACAGATACTTAACCAGCACTTACAAACCACTTGGTAAATATTAATTCACTAGATGCCTATGATAATAATCATGGGAGGCAAATATTATTATTACCCCATTTTACAGGTGAGGAAACAAAGATATCTATAACTTGCCCAAGCTTATAGTGAGTCACATTACCAGGATTCTAATATTGATAATTTGGTTCCAGATCCCATATTCCTAAGCACTAAAGTATGCAGCCCATAGGTACAAGAGGCCCTTTCTAGATATTTCTATATTACTTTTTATAAATGCATACATTATGACATACTTCATTTACTTGTCTGCCAATTTTTCTAGCTTGTGAGCTCCATAAGAGCAAGGATTATCTCTAGCTTATTTGTGCCATGTCCTTCTTTGTATTTTCAAAATATGAAAGTGAAAAAAGTAATGACATTACTAACTATGATTGACAACAAGTATTTACAAGAGTGAAGGAGAGAATATATTTGTAATTACTCAAGAAATGACTTAAATAAAAAATTATTTCTTCAGTTCAGAATATTTTAACAGATCCTTTAGTGTCAAGCATTCAAAACAGTGACAATGCAGTGTATAGACATTTTCTGGATTCAAATTCAAACAAACCATCAGCAAAGGACGTTTTGGAGAGAACTGGGGAAAACCAAATGCAGGATAAATTACATCGAGGAATTATTGCTCAAGTTGTTGATTGTGAATTATTGCAATTATCTTATCTATTAGAAATACTTATCTATTAGAAATACTTATCTATTAGAAATACTTAGTGAAGTATTTAAATACTTAGTGAAGTATTTAAAGACTTAGTGAAGTATTTAAAGGTAAAAAAAATGTTGTCTGGGATTTGTTTTGAATGTTCCGGATGTATTTATGATTTACTTTTTCAAAGAGGAAAACTTTTTAATGAAAAAATAAAGAAAAAGAAAAAAAAGAAAAACATAGAGACACATGGTGGCGCTACAGGATAAGACGAAAACTGTACATAGGCTGGCACAGTGAGCTTCGCTATTCAGAACAGAAAGCATCCAACCCACTGAAAAGACAGGCATTAAAGGAGCTTTGCCTACAGAGCTGCTGGAGGATACACTGTCCAGGGGGTTCCTATTAAAAACCAGAGCTTCAGCTTCCAAAATTAGGGCTGAGCTTCAATTTTTCCACAAGAGGTTGCCTAAAGGAACCATGGAGATCAGAGGGTCACTCGATCTACGAAAAAGGCAAGTTCTAATATTCCTTGTTTTGCTGGGATTGTCTCGGGCAGATACTGAATCTGCACACTATTCTGTGGCAGAGGAAACAGAAATTGGCTCCTTTGTGGCTAATCTAGCGAGGGACCTAGGGCTGGGGGTGGAGGAGCTGTCTTCACGTGAAGCCCGGGTAGTGTCTGATGATAATAAAAAGTATTTGCACCTTGATTTGCTGACTGGGGATTTGCTCCTAAATGAGAAACTAGACCGAGATGAGCTGTGTGGCTCCACCGAGCCCTGTGTGCTGCATTTTCAGGTGGTTTTGGAAAACCCTTTACAGTTTTTTCGGGTTGAGCTGCATGTCAAAGACATAAATGATCACTCCCCTACATTCCTAGACAAGGAAATACTTATTAAAATATCAGAAGGTACCACTATTGGAACTACATTCCTAATGGAGAGTGCTCAAGATTTGGATGTCGGAAGCAACAGTCTCCAAAACTACACAATTAGCCCCAATTCTCACTTCTACATTAAAATTCCAGACAGTAGTGACAGAAAGATATACCCAGAGCTGGTCCTAGATAGAGCTTTAGATTATGAACAGGAAGCTGAACTCAGATTAACACTCACAGCACTGGATGGTGGATCCCCGCCCAAGTCTGGGACAACTTTGGTTCTCATTAAGGTGTTGGACATCAATGATAATGCCCCTGAGTTTCCTCAGAGTCTCTATGAGGTGCAAGTCCCCGAGGATAGACCCATTGGCTCCTGGATTGTCACCATCTCAGCTAAGGATCTGGATGCAGGAAACTATGGGAAAATATCTTACACATTTTTCCATGCATCAGAAGATATTCGTAAAACATTTGAAATTAATCCAATATCTGGGGAAGTTAATTTGAGGTCACCCCTGGATTTTGAAGTGATACAGTCCTACACTATAAATATTCAGGCAACAGATGGTGGGGGTCTTTCAGGAAAATGCACCCTTCTAGTTAAAGTTATGGATATAAACGACAATCCACCAGAAGTGACCATATCGTCGATTACAAAGAGAATTCCAGAGAATGCCTCAGAGACTCTAGTAGCTCTTTTTAGTGTAGTAGACCAAGACTCTGGAGACAATGGGAGGATGATTTGCTCTATTCAAGATAACCTCCCTTTTTTCCTGAAACCGACCTTCAAGAACTTTTTCACTCTAGTTTCTGAAAAAGCACTGGACAGAGAGAGCCAAGCAGAGTACAACATCACGATCACCGTCACAGACTTGGGGACCCCCAGGCTGAAAACCGAGCACAACATAACCGTGCTGGTCTCCGACGTCAATGACAACGCTCCCACCTTCACCAGAACCTCCTACACCCTGTTCGTCCGCGAGAACAACAGCCCCGCCCTGCACATCGGCAGCGTCAGCGCCACAGACAGAGACTCAGGCACCAACGCCCAGGTCACCTACTCGCTGCTGCCGCCCCAGGACCCGCACCTGCCCCTTGCCTCCCTGGTCTCCATCAACACAGACAACGGCCACCTGTTCGCCCTCCGATCGCTGGACTACGAGGCCTTGCAGGAGTTCGAGTTCCGCGTGGGCGCCACAGACCGCGGGTCCCCGGCGCTGAGCAGCGAGGCGCTGGTGCGTGTGCTGGTGCTGGACGCCAACGACAACTCGCCCTTCGTGCTGTACCCGCTGCAGAACGGCTCCGCTCCCTGCACCGAGCTGGTGCCCCGCACGGCCGAGCCGGGCTACCTGGTGACCAAGGTGGTGGCAGTGGACGGCGACTCGGGCCAGAACGCCTGGCTGTCGTACCAGCTACTCAAGGCCACGGAGCCCGGGCTGTTCGGCGTGTGGGCGCACAATGGCGAGGTGCGCACCGCCAGGCTGCTGAGCGAACGTGAGGCGGCCAAGCATAGGCTGGTGGTGCTGGTCAAGGACAATGGCGAGCCTCCGCGCTCGGCCACCGCCACGCTGCACATGCTACTGGTGGACGGCTTCTCCCAGCCCTACCTGCCTCTCCCTGAGACGGTCCCCGCCCAGGCCCAGGCCGACTCGCTCACCGTCTACCTGGTAGTGGCGTTGGCCTCAGTGTCGTCGCTGTTCCTCTTGTCGGTGCTCCTGTTCGTGGCGGTGCGGCTGTTCAGGAGGAGCAGGGCTGCCTCGGTGGGTCGCTGCTCGGTGCCCGAGGGCCCCTTTCCAGGACATCTGGTGGACGTGAGCGGCACCGGGACCCTATCCCAGAGCTACCAGTACGAGGTGTGTCTGACAGGAGGTTCCGGGGCAAATGAGTTCAAATTTCTGAAGCCGATTATCCCCAATTTTCAAGTTCATGACACTGGTAAGAATATGGGGGAAATTGAGAACTTTCGAAATAGCTTTGGATTTAACATTGAATAAAACAATTTGAAATAATTTATATACTTAAAATAATTTAGATTTAGTTATATCTAAAATAATTAGAATAACTAATTTTTAGTTATTCTTTGCAAGCTGATGGTACTTTTTGCATAATCTTTTGTGGATTTTTGGTTGTATTGTAGTTGCATGCATGATTATAGCTCTTGTTTTTCTCACAGTTTCTTTAAAAATCTTTATTAGTGGCTATAATGACATGGAAATGTAATCTGTGTTTTCTGGTTTTTCATTTATTTGGTCAAAATGTTATATTAATGGAGTTATTGCTATTTTTGCTGTGATAATGGTATTGTTATGTAAGACAATGTTCTCAATTATTTGGATATGCAAACTAAAGTATTAAGAGCTAATGTCATTATATATGTAACTTAAATCTAGACACCATCAAAACATAAAGTAAAAATAAAAAGTGTTGCTGAATCTGGGTCGAAAATATAGTGCATTTATCACACTATTCTCTCTGAAAATGTTCTTTAAAAAGGATAAAAAAGATGCTATCCCTCCATTTTCAGTTCTGGAGAACCTTATTAGTTTTTCAAATATTTACTTTATGATGAAACTTAAGTGGTCACATTGGAAATTATTAATTTCTTAAGTAATTTTTTCTGTAACTACTTTTGTTGATAATCCTGTTGTGGAGGAAGAGTCTTATAATGCTCTGGGCCTTGCTGTCACTCTTTAGTTTTCTTAATTTAATTTTATTTATTTATGTTTTTTGAGACAGGGTCTCATTCCATTGCCCTGGCTGGAATGCAGTGGCACCGTTATGGCTCACTGCAGCCTTGACTTCCTGGGTTCAGGTGATTCTCCTGCCTCAGACTCCTGAGTAGCTGGGACCAGTGGCACAGGCGACCATAGTCCAGCTAATTCTTTTGTAATTTTTTTGTACAGACGGAATATTGCCATGTTTTCCAGTCTGGTCTGGAACTCCTTGGCTCAAGCGATCTGCCCACCTTAGCTAGTCTTTTGTCTTTGTTTTTTGAGATAAAGTCTCACTTTGTTGCCCAGGCTAGAGTGTAGTGGCAGGACCTTGGCTCACTGCAGCCTTGACATCCTGGGCTCAAGAAATCCTCCTGCTTCAGCCTACTAAATAGCTCGAACTACAGGCACCTGCCATGACGCCCAGCTAAATTTTTGTATATGTGGTAGAGATGGAGTTTTGCCATGTGGCCCAGGCTAGTCTGGAACTCCTGAACTCAAGTGATCCACCTGCTTTGGCCTCCCAAAGTGCTAGGATTACAGGCATGAGCCATTACGCCCAGCCTAGTTTTCTTTAAATACACCCTATTTACTAGCTTAAATCTTGTATTGTTTATTTCTAAAGCAGAAAATAATTTAGGGTCTTATCCTGGGTAAAATAGCCTTCCATCAGATGAGTACAAAGCAAGAACTTCGTAAGAAATTGAGATGAAGATTCAAACTGTTAAAGAAAACGATTTTAGTTTCACTTTCCTATTAATTATTGAGTAAATGTAAAATATCGTTAATACTTTGTGGCCTCTCTCAGATGCCTACAAAGAAGGAATGAGCAGGCATTTATGGTTTATAGATGCCTCATCATGTTACATATTATATTTCAACTCTAAAAGAAAGTTATATAGAAGATTATAGATAGAGATTTTGATAACTAGAAAGTAGTATGGATATAGGGCTAGTGTGCATATACATTTTGAAATTGCTCTTACAAGATTAAATACTATTACAGACCAGATGATGTAGTAAAATGGAATTTCACTTGCCATTGTGAAATAAGTCAAACAAATTCCAATTTCCTTAGATTTTTTTCCCTCTGTTTCATGCAATTTTCACTGATTTTATTTTTCATTGTAACAAGTAATTATTAGTTGTGTGGATTTCTTTAAATTGACATTTAAACAATAAAATCCTGAAAAGATGTTTGGGTACCCTTTTTCCCTCAGAGTCATAAGAGGCAAAGCTATGCTCCTGAAAGTCACTGCTAAAGTAAAAACTGAAGTAAGTAAAAACTAAAGAAAGACAGAAGAAAGACTAGAATAAGAGAGTAGAAAAAAGTGAAATGGAAAGAGAAATAAAAGTAGTGTATTTTTATCCTCAGTATTATCAATTATAAATAAAAATTTATAATAGTATTGAAACTATAATGTTTCTAGAAATTAGGCTAACAAAGAAGTCATAAAACCTTTATGGAAAAGTGAATGATGTCAATAAAACATTAAATGAAATAATTAAATGTCTGAATTAATTGAGACAGATGCTAGTTCCTTGATAGAACAACTTAACAAAGATCTATGCTTCCCAAAATAATTTATAAATTCAATGCAATTTCAGTGAAATCTATCATAAGTAGTTAAGGATCTAAAAATGGTTTCTAATATTAATATAGAATATCAAGTTGCATGAAGAGCTAGGATAATTTTTAAAAGGAAATATGAGGGAATGCCTTACATTATAGATATTAGTACATACTACAAATATGAAGTAGGTAAATCTATCTGAATGATTTAGGAACAGACTCATAGACTACCAGATAGAATAGAATCCAGGGTCAGATCCTTTTATGTAAGATAACTTGGTCACAATAGAGGAGGTATCATAATAACTGGGGTTGGTGGAGAAGAGAGATTATTTAGCAAATGTTATTGCGGATATTGGCTCACTATATGCAGAAACAAAATCCCTATCTCATGTCATATAAAAACAACCTTCATATGTATGTAATAGGTGAATTTGAAATATTTGAATTGGAAGAGACAAAATAAATCTAGGTAAAAAATATTCATATCATCTTAGTTTGGGTTTGGATTTCTTAACAAGGCTTTAAAGTACAAAAAAGAAAAATACAAACTGATGAATATTACTGCCTCAAAATTAAATGATAGCACAGACAAACTAAAAGATGACAGTGAGAAGCCACCTGCAGTATTTTAACTGATAAGATTAATATTTACATTATTCAAATAACTCTTGCAAATCAACAACAAGAAAGCCAGAGAGACAATAGGATTTTTCAAGACAAAGGAAAAGGAAATTCAAAAAAAGGGAAAACAGAAAGTCTGAAAATAGCTTTAAATGAAGTTCAACCCTTTTAGTTGGTGAAACATACACTAAAATTAGTAAAGATGAGAGATTTGGGTAATATCAAGTGGAATAATAGGAAATCACATGTACAGCCTATTTAGAGACCTTTCTGATAGTATTTAGTAAAATTTAATATATATATGTACTCCACAATTCAGCAATTTTATTGGAGTGTGTAAGCCAGAAAACTCTTACAGAGCTTTACAAAATGATGTATATAAGAATATTCATCTTGGGAAAATGAAGAATAGGACTCCACTTGCATATCTATCAGTAAAGCAATTGATAAAATGTGTAATATGTTAGTGAAGGATTATTATGCAGTGATCAAAAGGAGTTAGCTAGACATGTAATCACATGAATAAATCTCAAATGTTTTAAAAGAAAAAAGAGGCAAAGATTTACAGTACAGTGATATACACAATATCTTATATTTATAGAAATATGCAAATATATTAATACACATGAAGGGAGAGAGGAGATAATATAGGAAAGCTATTTATGTATATATAGAGGAACAAGGGGTATAGAAAGAAGTGAGAATGAATACCAATGTAAATGGCAGTTGTCTCTTCCAAGAGATTGTTTAAATTCATTATGTCATTGTAGAATTGATTTAGTATTGATCAGCTGAAGTTGTTTAAAAATACGTATTATTTCTGTTGCCTTCCAAAATAATCAGTTGCCCATAGAACATGAAAGCTAAGAGTTTACTTGTAATTTTTAGTTGCAACAATATCCCTGAGACTTCACATTTTTAACAAGGATGATAAAAATTATGTAGCACAATGATTTCACTGAAAACAATTAGCTATTAAGACATTAATACATTGTCAGGTTAGAGTTAATGTTAAAAGGAAACCCAGGGAGATAAACAAGTCCAAAATCTACTTTTTCCTAGGGAATCCTGGAAAACTTGAACCTCTGTTAATAAGCATGGACCCCTAAGAGCCAAACCCTTAGAGTGAGAGCAAACTGGAAATGCATGAGCCCTTGTGGGGAATTTCAGCCTTGAACTTGATTTTTAGCCTTTAACTTGATTTTTAGCCTTAAACTTGATTTAAGGTGATCATTGACAGGTAGTGCTCCAGGAACTGATAGAATTAAATGCAGATCTTTAATGAAATCTGACTTCTTATAGTGAATGTGAATGTGACTTCTTACAGTTTTGAATGTTTGAATGTTTATTCACTCTAAGCCTCAAATCATTCGTACAACTAGTTTTTTGTGTTCTTAACATAAACAGTCGAAGATAAGTGCATACACAAGGGAACATGACACTATGAGTGACAGCCAGCAGAGAAAAGGAACATAAAAATAAACTTGTAAGCATTTCAAATATTGTAATTATCAGACACAGTCTATAATATGCCAGGTAATTTAATTGAAATAAAAGTTAAATTTGAAGGTATACAAGGAAAAATACTGTAAAATTTGACAGATAAGAAAACAAATAGAACTCCTAGAAATGAAAAACTATAATGATCAAAATTTTAAACCAACTAGAAAATTTAATAGAAAATTAGATACAGCTAAACAAATAATTACTGAAGAGAAAGATAGACAAGGATATAATTTATCCAATATGTAGGTCATGAAGTTGATAAGATGAAAAATACAGAAGAGAATATTAGAAACAGAGGACAAAGTAAAAAAGCTTAACATATATTTAACCAGAACCCAAGGAGATAAGAGAAAAATTGTATCAGAAGCAATAGTTAAAGAAATAATAATTTGAATTCTTCAAAATTGATGAAACCATCAATAAGCAGATTTAAGAGACCTAAATAAACCTAACAGGATAAATTTTAAAAGATACTCATATCTAGAAACATTATATTGAAAGCTCAGAAAACCAAAGACAGAGAGAAATCTTTTTTTCAAAAGCCATGGGAAGAGGACATTGAACCCTCAAACACACGACAGACTGACAGCTATGCTCCATGTTTCTCAACAGTAGCAATGGAAAATAATAGAAAGGTATCTTTAGTGTACTGAAGGAAGTTAGCAAACCTTTCTACCTAAATGATCTTTGCATGTAAGAGCCATTAAATGAGAGCATGAAATCAACTTGGTATCAGTTTAATTTTAAATTATTCCAGATAAGAAAGAAGTAGTGTAAAGGCGTTTCATCTCTTAAATGTGACTTCTTTTAATTTTCTTCTTTGCCCATCCCTTGCAACAATTCTGAGTCCAAGAGTTTGACCTACCTCTGTTTCTAGCCTTCTTCATCTCTAATGACACTCACTTCTACTCTAACCTAGTCACCTATAATCATGGCCTCTCTCTGGAGATGGTAGTCTCTGAAGACTACATCATGTCTGAAGTCACAAATTCAAATATACTTCTTTTAATCTGCAACGTATTATCTTCCTTGAAGAGATTTAATCACTATTTATGCCAATAAATCCCAAATGTGACTCTATAGCCCAAATGTCTTTCCTCAACTACATTTATGTAATAGAAGCTAATTTATATAACTATCTATATGGATGCTCAAACTCAACAGTTTTAAGTTAAAATTGTTCCCTTCCTCAAAACTAAATATACCTTCTCCAGTTCCATATCTGTTCCTCTTTCTTCTGCTCTTTCTGTGTTTATTAGTTAATAGAACCAACAGTCACTCAGTTGCCTAAGCCTGAAGACAAAGTACATTTACCTTCATGCCTTTCTAACCCACTCCTTCTATGTTTATCACCATATACCCTATTGTTTTATCATTCTAATACAACCCCTTCACTGCATTTCTAGTTGAGGCCAATGTTTCCTCTTACTTGTATTATTGCAACCATTTGTAATCAATCTCTCACCTTTAATCTTATTCCTCTCTAATTTATTCTCAACTCTGAAACAGGATAATGTTTTTAAAAAGTAGAAACATAATCATGTCACTTTTCTGTTTTAATTATAATCCCTTTAATAACCCTACATTTCTACTGATGTAAAGTCCAAATTCCTTGACATAGTTACAAAATATTTTCTTATCTTTCCAATTTCAACTCTTACCATTTCTCTCCTCTTGCTCTATGCCTTAGCCATATTGATTTTATTTTATTTCTTCCAAATATTTCTCTTTATTTGGATTTGCACAATCTTGTTTTTAGTTTTCCTGAAAAATTTTACCCCATACCCAATTTTTGTTTAAAGTACTCCTACTAATTTTTAATGTATCACTTTAGAATATACTTTCTCCAGAAAAATTTGTCTTGTATTTCCAAATTCTGGTTAGATAACCATCATCTATGCCCTTGTAGTAGCATGAACTTTCTTTATCATGACATTCATTGTGTTCTATTTAAAATATGTGGTCATTTTTCTGTCTCCCTCTTGCATGGCAGAAACTATGTCTGTTTACCATTCTATCCCTAACACTTATGACCATTCCTTGCACAAAGTATATTCTCAATAACTATCTGCTAAACTAATTAATTAATAGATAGATAGACATACTTAGAATTGTGCCTATGGAAAGCCTGGGTCTGCAAATGATGAAATTCAGTTTCACAACTAAACTGAGGTCTAATTTGTTCACATTTAAAAAAATGTTTAACTGGACTTGCTCTTACATTAAAAACCAGAAATGTTTTACTTTACTCACTACTTTTGAGCATTTATTTTCTACTCCTGCCAGCTAAGTCTCCTACTGAGTATCCCTAAATAAATGGTACCATTTATGCAGCTCAAAATGTCCAACCTTTCCAAAGCAACTGTTTTCGTATACCAGGTTCATTTTCAAGTAGATGATCTCATTCCTCTTTTCTGAGTAGTTGTGGAGACAGCTAAGACCTCTAATTCTCATTTCCAATTTTCCTAAAAATCTCTTGCCTACTAAGTCAATTACATGTGAGAGTATTCTTCACTATCTTTAGTTGTTTAATATATTGTCTTCACAGAGAGATCATAACTCGTTTGAGGCAGGGGCTACATCTTAAATATGCTTCTTATATTATACCACAGCTGTAGCAGATTGTGGCTGATGATGGAAAGGTAATAGCATCACATATCACAAAAATGCAACTCGGAAAATAGGCATATAGGAGGAGAATATAATTTAAATTTATTGACAAACACTCAAGAAAAACTAATATTTTGTCTGAAACATATTGGAATTTATCTAAAACCTGAAAGTCTGCAGAGTCGCATGGTGGCGCTGCAGGATAAGATGGTGAATTTTTTGTAACAGCAGATGCTCTGGTTTCCCTTAACCATGGGAACTGAAAGCGCTGGGAAACCAGGAGAAAAGAGGCTTTCAAAAGGTAGGGCACCATCAACACCTTCGTGACAGGATTACGAGTGTCTAGATTCCCAAAGGTCCAGGATGACAGGTGAGAGGAGCAACTTTAACAGCTGCTAGAGACTGAGTTGAAACGTTTTCGCCAGAAAGACGTTTGGCTAAGAAGTCATGGAGCCGGGAAAGGGAAGAGCTCAGCGGACAAGGCAAGTGCTGCTTTTCTTTGTTTTCCTGGGAGGGTCTTTGGTGTGTTCTGAGACCTGGAGCTATTCCACAGCAGAGGAAATGGAGGTCGGCACATTTATAGCCAACGTGGTGAAAGACATGGGTTTGGATGTGGAAGACCTGGTTGCACGGGGCGCCAGAGTCATCTTTGACGACTATAAACCTTATTTGCGATTGGATCCACAAAATGGCGACTTGCTCTTAAACGAGCAGCTGGACCGAGAGGCACTTTGTGATCTCACAGAGCCTTGTATATTGCATTTCCAGGTGTTATTTGAAAATCCGTTGCAATTTTTTCGGGCTGAGCTTTTGGTCAAAGACATAAATGATCACACTCCCACGTTCCTAAATAATCATATACTTCTAAAAGTCTCCGAAGGTACTACTCTAGGAACTGTATTCCAAATAGATAGTGCTCAGGACTTGGATGTGGGAAAGAATGGTGTTCAAAACTATACAGTAAGTCCCAATCCCTATTTCCACCTTAAATTACGACACAGTGATGAGGGCAGAAAATATCCAGAGTTGGTACTGGACCAATCCCTGGATCGAGAAAAGGAGTCTGAGCTTAGTTTAACGCTAACAGCCGTGGATGGCGGGTCTCCGCCCAGGTCTGGGACTACACTGATTAACGTTGTGGTCCTGGACATCAATGACAATGCCCCTGAATTTGAGAAGCCAGTCTATGAAGTTCATGTACCTGAGAGCAGCCCTCTGGACTCCTTGATCATCAAAGTGTCTGCTACAGATTTAGATGCAGGAATAAATGGAGAACTGTCTTATTCATTTTCCCATGTCTCCAGAGATGTACGGAAAACATTTGAAATCCATCCAATTTCTGGCGAAGTCTATTTAAAAGCACCTCTAGATTTCGAGATTATTCAATCTTACATCATAAACATTCAGGCCATTGACAGTGGGAGCCTTTCTGGAAAATCAAACATTTTAGTTCGGGTTGTAGATGTGAATGACAACCCGCCAGAAATAGCCATGACATCTCTTACCAGCCCCATACCGGAAAACTCTTCACCTGAGATGGTGGTCGCTGTCTTCAGCATACGAGACCAAGACTCTGGAGACAATGGGAGAATGGTTTGCTCAATTCAGGACAACCTCCCCTTTGTCTTGAAGCCTACCTTCAAGAATTTTTACTCTCTGGTAACAGAGCACCCACTGGACAGAGAGATCAGAAATGAATATAACATTACCATCACCGTGACCGACTTGGGGACACCCAGGCTGAAAACCGAGCACAACATAACCGTGCTGGTCTCCGACGTCAATGACAACGCCCCCGCCTTCACCCAAACCTCCTACACTCTGTTCGTCCGCGAGAACAACAGCCCCGCCCTGCACATCGGCAGCGTCAGCGCCACAGACAGAGACTCAGGCACCAACGCCCAGGTCACCTACTCGCTGCTACCGTCCCAGGACCCTCACCTACCCCTTCCCTCCCTGGTATCCATCAACGCAAACAGTGGCCACCTGTTCGCCCTCAGGTCGCTGGACTACGAGGCCCTGCAGGAGTTCGAGTTCCGCGTGGGCGCCACAGACCGCGGGTCCCCGGCGCTGAGCAGCGAGGCGCTGGTGCGCGTGCTGGTGCTGGACGCCAACGACAACTCGCCCTTCGTGCTGTACCCTCTGCAGAACGGCTCCGCTCCCTGCACCGAGCTGGTGCCCCGTGCTGCCGAGCCGGGCTACCTGGTGACCAAGGTGGTGGCAGTGGACGGCGACTCGGGTCAGAACGCCTGGCTGTCGTACCAGCTGCTCAAGGCCACGGAGCCCGGGCTGTTCGGTGTGTGGGCGCACAATGGCGAGGTGCGCACCGCCAGGCTGCTGAGCGAGCGCGACGCGGTCAAGCACAGGCTGGTGGTGCTGGTCAAGGACAATGGCGAGCCTCCGCGCTCGGCCACCGCCACGCTGCACGTGCTCCTGGTGGACGGCTTCTCCCAGCCCTACCTGCCTCTCCCAGAGGCGGCCCCGGCCCAGGCCCAGGCCGACTCGCTCACCATCTACCTGGTGGTGGCGTTGGCCTCGGTGTCGTCGCTGTTCCTCTTGTCGGTGCTCCTGTTCGTGGCGGTGCGGCTGTGCAGGAGGAGCAGGGCGGCCTCGGTGGGCCGCTGCTCGGTGCCCGAGGGCCCCTTTCCAGGACATCTGGTGGACGTGAGCGGCACCGGGACCCTATCCCAGAGCTACCAGTACGAGGTGTGTCTGACAGGAGGCTCCGGGACAAATGAGTTCAAATTCCTGAAGCCGATAATTCCCAATCTGCTGCCCCGGGACAGCGAAATGGAGAAAGCCCCACCTTTCTGAATGGCATGGAATTCAATTAGGGATCTGATTATGATGCAGAACTTTTAGAATGAGTCTATTTCTTTGAAATCTTTTTGTTATTTAGAGTTTTTCATTTTGGGTAACTACATTTTATTCAAGAGTTTTCAGAAGTTACAAGAATTTAAGACTATTTTTTATTGTTTTAATCGTGAAAAAATTGAAAGCTGGAATTTACTTAGTCATTGTTTTGAAATACAACCTCAAATAATATGTTCACATACACATTATTTTCCCTTCAAGTTTAATTGCACACTGGGCTCATTCCTATTTTCTGAGTGTTCTGACTGTGGATCCTCTAACCAAAGCAGTTTTTATATGATTGAGAATATTATTATAGAGGTAAATGCATGATATTAACAAAAACATAATTGCTTGTTATCTGGTTAGGTTGGTTTCTAAGATGTTATCTAATTTAGGTTTCTTTTTTTAAAACCTATGATCTTTTCATTCTACTTTTCTGGCAAACATTGCAGAGAATTTTTCCTGTACTGAGGGTTTTTTTTTTTCATAATTATGTGTGAACCATATATATGCTAGTAGATGTTGTTTTATTTAAATATATTCAAAACCTTGTTTGGATTAAGATGTATATATCCAGCTCATGCTCCTTTCTTGTCTGAGAACTTCTCTATACTACCCAAGAGAGGCGATCACTAGTGTGATGCTTATTCCATTGCAGGCCTTCTTTTCTTACACCTCCCCCCGCCATATGTTTTTTTAAGGAGTGGAGTCTTGCCATGTCACATGGGCTAGTCTTGAACTCCTGGGCTCTAGTAATCCTACCACATCAGCTTCCCAAAGTGTTGGGATTATAGGCAAGAGCCCTGATCACTTTTTATTGGTCCTGTGATAGATTCCTAATTTAAGCTGGAATAGCAGCTACATTCTCCAAACCCCTAAATTTGTGATTGAGATATAGTTCATCTACTTTTTCCTCTTGAATAAATGTTGAACGTGTGCTGAGGTAGCCATGTTTATAAGTTTCTAGATAGAGAGAAAAAGAGGGAGAGAAAATGGAAGGAAAGTAAAAGTGAAAAGGAATAAGAGTGGAGAAGGCAGAAGCCTAGAAAACAGTAGAGACTAAAATAGCTACTTAGTTCTAGACCTGTCCACCTAAGTTCAGTTCCTCCTAAGTCCCCAATGTCTAATTGCCCTTGGGTTCTACAGTAAGACTCCATTGCTAATAGTAAAATTCCTTTGTTTAACCTATCTTGAAGTGGGATTTCTTGAAATCAGAAGAGACTTGAAAGGTTTGTACAACCTTGAGTACTCAATTAGACTATCTACCTTGAAACCCTGGTCTTTTATTGCATGCTTCTAATGTTAACTTAATGAATGAAATACAGGATGTACAAGCCTAGAGATAACAAATATATACTAGAGGCTTATGTAATAAAATTTAAATTTGTAAATAATTTATGAGGTCTTTCAACAGAAAAATGCTACAAAGGGCTTTATGAAATGTCTCATTAACTTAACTTTCCCTCCATTATTTTATATGTCCCAGGATTACTTTTAAATAATACTTTTAAATAATACTTTTAGTTTAAATAATAGTAATAACACTAAAATTGTTAAGTTTTAGGTTTCTGTACCTTTTCTCGGGATCATCATACCTTCCTTAGCAGACTCTTTCTTTTAAAAATTGCTTGTTAAGCTCAATGTGAACAAAATTATTTTTGTCATGTAATGTAAAATCTTCTTGCTCCATAAATAATCTCAATTTATAGATAATATGGATTGACTCATGATTTCAGTTATAGTAATAAACATTTAATTAATATACCCTATTGCTAGAAAACCTCATGAAAAAATTTAAGTTTCTGCCAAGCCTAGGAGCTAAGATCTTAGAAAGGAGAAACTTTAACCAAGAGAAGAAAGATGGGAATGAAAAACTAACTTTGATCCATTAGGTTACTCACATAGGTACAAGCTTCTATCCCATTAATATTAAAAAATGCATAGACGTTCAGGACGCATTTTCTTGGACACATAATAGTGAATTTGGATCCATGACCAATATATTTCTATAAGGAAAATTGTCCATCAGATTTTGACTGTGACTGGCATGTTCTCATATTTTGAAAGTTTAATCAAATTTGTTTGTATAGAAGAAAACATTCTAAAGTAGAATGTTGATTTGAGCTATTTATACCTTAAGAGAAACCAATATAAACCACAATTCTTACACTTGGCTCATCCTCAGTTTTCTCAGTTAGCTAGGTAATTAGAATACCAGAACACATAATAGTGTATATTGTTTAAGCATTGTAAGTAGAACATTGGTTAAAGTTGGCAGAGTTGGGAAGACCCCCAAGTCTCCTCCCCGAAAATGTTTTCTCTTTCCTTAGAAGTAAGAATTTCAGTTCCATGCTAGGGTTTCAGGATTCCAATGAATCCACAAGAGATATATGATTGCTTACTAAAAATGAGTTGAGATCTTCTCCAGTTGGGAATATGCTTAACCTGCTATTTCAGGTGAACTTAACATATTTTCTTCTGCATTTTACTTTTTACTTTAACTTCAACCTTTATATCCATGATCTTAGCTGTCTCCCTCTTAAAGGTTTCAGTGACTCTCAGCTTCAACATGTGTGTATCTCATTAACAATAGATGGTGATGCTCTTTACAAATTATTTTAGATACTGTGACAATTCAACATAGCAAGCTCACAGTCCTTAGACAATATTCACAAATAAGTTATCCACAACTCCTTAAGCTACCTATTGAGTTTGCATAATAAACCAGCTTTAGCTAGTATATCACTTAAGTTCATACCCCTGAAGTGTTAGAATGAATCTCTTCATCTACTGTGCTAGCAGTCATTAGACCCATCAAAGAGGCTTTCTTAACAGAAAATTGCGTTGTGGCAAGGATTGATTCCCAGAGCAGACTGCCTACTGACCCAACATAGGCATCCAGACCCTGAATGCTGTTGGTGTTGGAGAAATGGAGGCTGAAAAGGAGCATTTTCCTAGAATAAGGCAAGTGCTGCTTCTCTTTGTTATGCTGTCTCAGACTTGCGCGGAGCGGAATGTTTATACTGTAGCAAAAGAAACAGAAAGCGGTTCTTTTGTGGCCAATGTAGCAAAGGACCTAGGGCTAGAAGTAGGAGAAATATCCCGGCGGAGGGCTCGGGTCATTTTTAACAGTAACAAAAAAATATTTTCAGCTGAACCTTCAGACTGGAGACCTGCAAGTAAATGAGAAACTGAATGAAGAAGAATTGTGTGACCTCACTGAGCCTTGTGTGCTGCAATTCCAAAGGAAGAACCTTTGGAGGTATATAGGTTTAAACTTTTGGTCAGTGACATAAATGACAATTCCCCTGTATTCCCAGAAGTAGAAATTATTTTGAAAATCATGGAAAATACTCCTCCAGGAACTGTGTTTCCTCTGAAAAACACACAAGATTTGGATGTGGGCATCAATAACACTCAAAACTACACCATCAACCCCAACTCCCATGTCCACGTTCTCACCCAAAATGGCAGTGAAGGCAGAAAATACCCAGAGCTGGTTCTAGACAAAGCCCTGGATCCGGAGGAGCAGGCTGAGTTCGGGTTAACTCTCATGGCAGTAAATGGTGAGGCTTCTCCCAGAACTGAAACTGCTCTGGTCCTCCTTGAAACCTTGGACATCAATGGCAATGCGCTTGAGTGTGTGCTGTCACTCTATCAGGTGCAGATATCAGAAAACAGCCCCCTGGAATCCCTTGTTGCCACTGTTTCTGCTAGAGATTTAGACATGGGAATTAATGGTGAAATATTCTACTCACTTTTTATGGTGATGAAGAGATTTCTAAGACATTTGCACTTAATGAACGAACGGGAGAAATTAAAATGATCAGAAAATTAGATTTTGAAAAAATTGTGTCATATGAGGTGGATATTAAAGCCTGTGATGGGGCAGGTCTTTATGGAAAATGCGCCATCATAATACAGGTGGTAGATATCAACCATAACGCTCCAGAACTGACCATGGCTTCATTTACAAGCCCCATCCGCGAAAATTCTCCCGAGATGTGGTAGCTCTTTTCAGCATTCCAGACCGAGATTCTGGGGAAAATGGAAGAATAGTTTGCGCAATTCAAAATGATGTTCCGTTCATGCTGAAACCTTCCTTTGAGAATTTCTACTGGCTGTTAACAGAAGGACTACTGGACAGAGAGTTTAGAGCCGAGTACAACTCACCATCACAGCCTTGGACTAGGGAACGCCTAGGCTGAAAACCGAGTACAACAACACTGTGCTGGTCTCCTATGTCAATGACAACGCTCCCGCCTTCACCCAAACCTCCTACATCCTGTTCGTCAGCGAGAACAACAGCCCCGCCCTGCACATTGGCAGCGTCACCGCCACAGGCACCAACACCCAGGTCACACACTCGCTGCTGCCGCCACCGAACCCGCACCTGCCCCTCGCCTCCCTAGTCTCCATCAACACAGAAAACGGCCACCTGTTTGTCCTCCGGTCGCTGGACTACGAGTCTCTGCAGGGGTTCGAGTTCCGCGTGGGCGCCACAGACCGCGGCTTCCTGGCGCTGAGCAGCGAGGCGCTGGTGCAGGTGCTGGTACTGGACGCCAACGACAACTTGCCCTTCGTGCTGTACCCGCTGCAGAACGGCTCCGCGCCCTGCACCGAGCTGGTGCCCCGGGCGGCCGAGCCGGG